GAACAATAAAAGAACAGGATTCAGGAAGACAGAAGATAGTGATTGGCATTACATTTAACATTTTGAAGATTGTAGGTGGCAGGGAAGCAAATAATCAGATGGAAAGAAGTGTGAGAAAAGAAACTAATAGAATAGAACATATGGTTATATCTAGTTAGTTCAACAGCAAAATGGTGAGACCTAGTTGCCAATCTATTTCTACACTTAAATTCATGCAGTGAAGGCACTAAGGAGGAAAGCTCATCAGAGCAATTGCTATGAAAATATTTGTAGAAAAGACAGAGAAAAGCCATATTAAGTTGGTGAGAATATGACTGAAGTTGAGATGCCAAGTGAGGATCAATTACATTACAGGTCTTTCATTGAATTTTATCAAGAATCTCAAGATATATAGTAGGAACATCAGACATCAAATATAGCAGTAATATTCAATGCATGGATAAATGGTAGAGGATTCTGACAAGTAAAATTGTCTGGTACAGCACAGATAATCACTCCACTTGAAACTGCTTTTTGGCAATGCCATCTTGCAGTTTTTAAAGTAAGTTCTCTGGCAGACAATTGGGATAATCTCAGAATCTTATCACTCATTTTGATATCAAAATGTTTATTCAGCAAGTGCTTTTTATATTAGAAGATTTATAAGGAAAAACTATTTAACCCCAATATTGAAAAATTAATATAATTCATTTTTCTTTTATAAATTTTTCAGTTGGACTTAGATGTGAAATCTTATGAAAAATGCAAATTACTGTACATCCATCACACAAACACATGCACATATGCTTATAGATTCAGCTCTTTTGTCCCAGTTGTTTAAGAAAAGGTATTTATAGGAATGAATATCAAGTAAGTTTTTTTTTTGAAATTACCTAGTGAAGCCGGTAAAGACAATGGAAAAGAAAAAATGCAAAGAAATTAAAAGTCACCTTGTTCAAGTAGAATTTTTCTTGGTGCTGAAGATAATTATTTTCAGTTGTAGTTTTTCCAGATGAGCTTATTTAAAATTAAAGAGCATGGAAAATATCAGCATTGTTTATTTTTGCAGCAAATCAAAATAGCAAGCTAATAAGATTATGAGATTTAACTCCTTATCTATATTTATAGATAATTCAATAACTTGTATTTTGTTCTCGACATAGAAACTACTGTGTTTGTAGTTAGCATTTGTGTATGAAACTAAGCACTGATACTACAAGCAGAAATCATAAAATTTACAATCCAAACACCGATTTTAGATAAGAAAAATGTTATTATTGAAATTTATCAAAGCAAAAAACAAAACAAAACCAAAAACAACAAAAGAAAGTGATTTTAGATTAGGAAACAAAAATGAACTTGTCTCATTGTGATAAAAAAAGTACTGATTATGTATTTGTCGATATTTGTCCCTCTATTTCACACTACCAAATTTCTAAAGAATAAATGCTAGAAATGTAAAGTTCCCAAATATTTGAAAATGATAAAAAATGGCTGTACTTTTCTTGAATTGAGACATTTAAAAATTTTTAAATTGAGATATGAAAATGTACCATGATTTTTCATTGATATTGCAAACAGATACAAATTTTACCCTTTTTTTTTTCTGGTAATATATTTTGTGATATGTTATTGTTATATAATTCAAAACCTTAGATACTTGAAAATAAAAAAATACTCAGAACTGTTATTAAAACCAAGAAATAAAGTGTATGGAAATTCTGTGATGCACATTTGCAAGACTAAAATTGATCAGAGTAATTCATGGATTTTATTAATACAGAGGAAACAATCATAGAATTTTTTTTTTTACAGTAAATTATTAACCATAGTTAAATAATTCATATCTTACACTATTGAGCAATCTGGTAACAAACAAAAAATTCAGAAATTGCTAACTGGAGAAAATAGGAGAAGTAAATGTCTTATATTCAAACATGGTGGCTATCATTATATTAGGATGTATGAAGTCTGTCTAGATTTTAATATTAATGAAAAAGTAACCTCCCTCAGGCAATGGTGCCATAGTCACTTTCAAAGAATGCCTCTTTGGACCTCAAACATTTACCCCATCATTTCTTCTACTTTTCAAAACAGTCCATAAAGTCATCTTTAGAGATAATCATTATCTGCCTCATTGTATTCAGCTTAATCTTGGCCACAGTCTGATTTTAGCTTTTAGGAAAAACCAGGAGTTATAAGAATCAAAATTTGGACAGAGCTAGGCAATATGATGTTTTACCAAAAGAACTCTGGGCAGGATGACAGCCTGTGAAATACCCAAACCATCTAATTTCTGCACTTTCCATCCTGGATTGACTTTGATCACAACCAACATTTTTGGGTGACCTGCTTGTTGAAGGTATTAGTATGGTGGTATCTGCCACACAGAGTTTACCAACTCTTCTGTGTTAGGAAGAATAACGTGTTTTAGCCTTCCAGTAGCACACCGATACTAATATTAGCATTAATGTAGCCATTGATACACTAACACTGAATACGAATATAAAAAGACGAAATATGTGAGCGTAACAAACAAAACATTTAATATGGCAAACAACTTATGTACATATATTCAAAAGATTTACATATGTCCCAAAACAAACGATTGTCATTATTGTCCCAAAGGAATGAGGAGGTTTACAGAATGAAAATGAAGAAACAACATACCAACTTTATGGCCTTTGATTGTCCGCAGATAAGTGAATAGAAAGTACCTTTTTCTTTCGCTAGGTCGTGCACATGTTGACCAGTTTCCACGTGTGTGGACACTCTGGTGGTCAGGAAGGTAAAGAGGCCGTTCCTCCAAGAACGGAAGCAAAGACAAAAAAGGGGCCAAAACTCCCATGAGCTCAACCCAAGGGAAAACAACTGTGGTCTCACTATAAGTACCCCCTCCATAGACAGGTTCATTAACCTGCACTAGAGGTACAACTAAAATGTAACAAAAAAAAAACTTCACAACATATATTACAAATTTAAAGAAACATGGTTTTGCAATCGAATGAAAAAGGAAGAGTTCAATGTGGAGGAAGGAATATCCTCCAGTTATGGTTCTGCTGAACCCAAAACCTGAAAATGACTTATGTCAATAAATGTTTGGGCCATCTAACACGACGGCCAGATCTGGTCACAGTCTCTTTTACTACCTCTGGTGCTACTGGTGATGGAGGAGTCACTGAAGTGTCCATGTTCAGCCAGGTAGAGTCCAAAAAGGCAGGCTTTAATCTGTCCATAGTAATGCTTTGTGTTGCATTGTTAATGCTCACCATAAAATATTCAAATGTCTCTCAAGGACTTTGAAGGGTCCCCTATAGGCTGGCTGCAATGTGTGGGACTTAGCCAAGTCCTGCACAAAAACATGTGTGCATGTCTGCAGTAGTTTAGGCACATATATCTGCCTTTGAACCTGTGCAGAAGACTTATATGCCAAGTTTGCCATGCTCGCGGTAAGCCGATCAACGAACGAGGTCAAGTTCAAAATTTTTTGTGGAGGTTGCAGGAAAAACTGTCCTGGGAGTCTGAGTGTGGTGTCATAAACTATCTCAGTAGATGAACATTTAAGATCGTCTTTAACCACAGTACAGAGTCCCAGAAGGTTTTATAACCTGCGCACAATTTGGCAGGAACCTTCAAAAAAAATTCACCATCCCTAAAAACTGTCGCAACTTTCTCATAGTATCTGGCACGAAAAAGTCAGAAATGGCCGCCACTTTAGATGGAGAAGGTGAAACTCCAGCTGAATTAATGCGGTGACCTAGGAAAATAACTTCAGACTTTCCAAACTCACACTTTACTGGGTTGATAAAAACCCCAAATTTCTCAAAACGCTCGAAAACGAGCTGTAAATGTTTAATATGTTCTTCCATAGAAGAACTGGCTATAAGGACATCATCCATGTAGGCACAGACAAAATGCAAACCATGCTATACATGGTTGATAAATCTCTGAAAAGACTGTGCTGCATTTCTTAGTCCAAATGGCACATGCAGAAACTCAAACAACCCAAATGGTGTTGTTATGGCAGTCTTTGGAATATGTTCGGGTTCTACCGGAATTTGATGGTAGGTCTTGATAAGGTCTAATTTAGTAAATATGCACCTATCCTAAATGTTGGCCGTTACATCATGTATATCAGGAATGGGATAATGGTCAGGTTTAGTGGCAGAGTTGAGTGCACCAGGTTCCACCACTTTTGGGTACCAGGTGCAAAGGAGATGCCCAGTTACTCTTTGATGGCCGGATAATACCAAGTTCCATCATTTGGGTAAATTCCGCTTTCACCACACTCAATTTTTCCAGTGCCAGACGATGAGGATGGCTGTGAACAGGAGGACCGCTAGTAGCAATGTTGTGTGTTATATTGTGGGGTAAACTATCTTTGTGAAAAGCCGGTTTGGTAATGCTCCCAAACTTTTTTAAAAGTTCACAGAACATAGGGTTATCTTCTGTGTTAGCCACAGTAGGACATAATGGAAATACATTATGAATGGCTCCCGGCAATTGAGTATTTGTCTTAGGGTTTGTCAGACAACATCTGTGAACATCAATGAGAAGACCAAATTTGTGTAAAAAATCTACACCCAATATTGCCTTCTCTACATCCACAAGGACAAAGAAATGTGTGAAAACCCGTCTCAGACCCAAATTCAATGTAAGGCACCTCTGACCATAAGTCTGGATGAGCGACTTATTCACAGCCTGTAGGGTAAGTTTGTGAGGGCCTTTTAACTTGTCTGCCCTAGTAGCAGGAATTAAAGATATTTGTGCACCACTGTCCACAAGAAAATGTATACCAGTAGTGCGGACCAAAACAAATAGTAAGTGACAAACCTCTCCCACGCCGGTGCACCGAGTTGCCTCTGGTCGCCAGCCTAGGCTTTTCCCTGTTGCGAATTGAAGAAACAGGGGGGCTTACAATAATTGGCTCTATCTCTGAATTTCCTGTGTAAGTAACACATTGGGTCCTTGCTAACAGCTCTTGCACGACCTCTACTTTGGGAGCGGAGAATGCTAACCTTCTACAACCGTCTCTCTAAGTCTTCCATCCTAGCCTCTAACCTTCGTTGTGCCTCCAAGAGTCTAGCCAGCGGATCTGGCTCTTCCGTCTGTATGGCAGAAACGGGAGCAGTGCATCCCGAGGTTAGGTCAGCTACATTATCTACTATTTTAGCCAGCTTTTCAACGGATGCATCTTTACCCACTGTGGCTAAAACAGCGTGATACGCGGAGGGCAAATGCTGGAGAAAAATATGACGTATAATGCCATCCTCATTACCTTCTCCAGCTAGATGCTGCAAATGATGTAAAAATTGTGACGACTTGCTATCTCCCAATTGTTCCTCATGCAAAAGCTGTGACAATTTCTTTTGCCGTGACATAGACGTCCTCCAAACAAGTTCCTCTTTTAACTTGTAATATGGCTTGTCTTTCGGCGGAGAGATAATAATTTCTCTCACCTCTTGGACAGCTTCAAGAGGCAACTTGGAGACTGCTAAATTAAATTTTGTTTTCTGAGAGGTAATTCCTCTCAGTTCGCACTCCAACTCTAACTGTGTGAAAAATAAAGCTGGGTCTGCTTTAAAGTAGGCTAGGCTGACAGTGTTCACTGCCGACACTGTCAACTCTAGCAGTAAGCTACTGACCAGCCTGCCTCCAAGAGTGAGGGAGTCTAATGTTGCCGGCTGGTGCCAAATTCAAATACAGGATGGTAGAAGAAGCACACGAGGGAGAGGGAAGCCATGTTGCCATGTTATACAAGTCGTCATTCCTATATCGCAAATTATTTGTGTCAAAAGAAAAAAAACACTCTCTGACACATGAAGTTAACACTAACAGTTATTTTGCAAAAATATACTGACACGTTGGAGTCACCACTTATTAGTATGGTGGTATCTACTGTTGCAGCAGGCCGAGAGGTGTGAGTGCCAATCGACCGTACAACTAAAAAGGGGACACAAGGGCAAGGAGATGGCAATAGCAAAGAAGGATGACAAACGCAGATGGTCCGTTGTAGACGATGTAAATCGTGTCTTTATTTGCAAATGGTGGATGGTAAAAAAGACAGAGGTCGTTTGAACGGTGTCCGGACGATAACAGGCGCTAGACGTCAGTGGGCACTGGATAAGGTCGTCAGCGGGTGCTGGAATAGGACGCGGTACGTCAGTAAAAAACGCCCCAGGGGTGAGCTGTAAACTGCAGGAGTGAGCTGGAAGCGGTAGGAGTGCTGGAAGCCGTAAGAGTTAGCTGAAGGCTGCAGGAGAGAGCTGGAAGCTGCAGGAGTGAGCTGGAAGCTGCAGTAGTGCTGGAAGGTGCAGGAATGAGCTGAAGGAGCGAGCTGGAAGCTGCAGGAGTGCTGGCGTCACAGAGGGAAGGCAGTAGCGAAGAGTGAAGTGAGTGGAGTCTCGAAGAGTGGTGATCGAATGACATTGGGAAGTTAGCCCTTTGAACAAAACTGTTTGAACAACTGCTGCTGGGCTTGATCGACTTGACTGGGCGCGTCAAAGTCGCGAATCAGGGAGGCTTCCTGCTCCCCCCGGGCCGGCGGTATTTACTTGACTCCCACGAGGTCAAGATGTGACACAAGGTCGTTTTTCGTTGGGAATACTTGACTCCCACGCGGTCAAATCGTGACACAAGGTCGTTTTTTTCGTGGGAAAAACCCAAGCGTTTCCGCATAGGGTCACTGGTCAAAGATTGGTCATAACATGTCCAACATGTCCAATGTTTTGGTCATAACATGTCCAAGCTGGTCAAAGCTTAGTCAGCCAATGTTTTGGTTTAGGTCCTTTGCCATAGGTCCATACCAACCCTCCCCCGGCTATAAACCGCTGCGAAGTCTCGGGGATATAGGTATGACGGTTCACACAAGAGAAAGCGGTGACGCTAAACAAGTAAATGAATATAATTAATTCCGGGCCGTATTAATTACAGTCAAAAGTGTGTTCGGTGTTTGTTGACTGTATTTAAATTAATTTCGGTTCGAAATTAAAGGTCTTTTATTTTTGTTTAGTGGCGAAAATTGAGTTTTGTGTGTTTCTGACAGTTTGGAAGGATGTCGTTGCTATTTTTAGCACACAAGGACCGTGACCTTTCTCTATCGGCAGGCATAGTTGTTTAAGAAACGGTGGGAGTGGTGTTTGGGCACACTGCGACACTACCACACAGAGTTTACCAACTCTTCTGTGTTAGGAAGAATAACGTGTTTTAGCCTTCCAGTAGTACACTGATACTAATATTAGCATTAGTGTAGCCATTGATACACTAACACTGAATACAAATATAAAAAGACAAAATATGCGAGCGTAACAAACAAAACATTCCTGCCTTGTGTTTTTAATATACATGAAAGATCATTTTTAATAGTTTGCTTAACTGTTTACCTTGAAGAAAGCTGACATATAAGTAAATTGAAGATAGGGAAAATTGAGCAACTCCCTCAAGCTATGCACTTATTTACATCACTTTAATTTGATTAATGTTTCAAACTGCAATAATATTAAACATTTTATTGCTTTTCCTACTTTAAAATCTCTAAGAAGAAATATTTTTGTTTGGATGTAAAAATTCATTTTTGTCAGCAGCTCCAGGGGTTTGAAAACAAATTCATGTAATGATTTTAAAATAAACAAAGAATATTCTCTGATAACATTTCTATTACTTATTGAATACACAGGCAAACTTTTATGTAATTCAAAATTTGTTTTTTAAGAGATGGGTGGAAAAAAAGAAAAGATCTGCTATAAATCTAATTTAGGTGAATGGAATATATATACAGTATCAAGCAATATTTTTTTTAAATTGTAGTTCAGTATGTAATGTATGTTTGCATTACATATTGAGTATGTTTGCATTTTGTACTTATTTTTTTACAGAAGATTTCTAATGATAGTACAAATGAGATAGACATATTTAAGAAAGTTACTGCCACGATTTTTTCAGTTCCTAAGCATATATAGTATTGCCCACAAGTACACCTCATGTTTCTTAAAAGTTAATTTTCATCAAAATTAAATATGAGGGTTGGCTGAAAAGTTTATAGGCTGGATATGAAGGAGTGATGTTAAAACTGTGAAATCCTACATGCATTAATTTCAACTCTTATTAAAAACTGCATTGTTTCTTTCCAGCTAAATTGATATCTGACTGTTAAAAAAAAGACTCAAAAGTAACAAGTAATAACTTCTCTTGAAAATGGACAAATTTGGCATCATGATATTATCAAGTACCTACAGAAAAAGGGTTGAGCTCCCAAGGATATTCATGCTGACATAGTTGCTACATTAGGGAATGATGTTCCAGCATCATCAACAGTGCAAAAATGGGCAGCTGAATTTAGGAGGGGAAAACAGAGTCTTGAAGATGACCCAAGGTTTGGAGATCCTGTGACTGCCACCATTGACGAAAACATTGATCATGTTCACTACATGGTGATGGATGTCAGATGATTGACTATAAATAAAATAGCCAATGCTATTAGGATATCCTGTGAGACAATTGAGAATATTTTGCACAATGAACTTGGCATGATGAAGGTTTCTGTTCAGTGGATGTCATATCTTTTGACATTTGTCATATGTTTCATTCACTTTAAATGAAGTCAATGTTTCATATCTCACAGATTTTCCAACAATTTTGGTTCTCTCCTAGATTAAGCTAATTCTCTCAAAGAAATAGCACTGATAGAAGATATCTATTTTTGTCTGAATTTCTGGGATGAGGATTTATCATTATTTACACTCATTATATTTGGACTATTTTCCTTATCTTTGTTGTTTTTATCAAAACATCTTATCTGACCTTCATCAGGTGTATATTGAGCTGGGTAACTTACGGGGAATTCCAAAATAAACCTTTGATTTAATTGATTGGAAGCAGATTAAATATCTGTTCTTGTGCCACTTGCTCATGTCTAGGGATATGATCTATGTCTTATTTTATTTAGTACTGTTCAATTATTGCTTACCCATTTCCACTGAGTGCAAGTATACACTGCCCAACCCAGATTGAACTCATAACGACTATGTGACCAAATTCACAAACCAATGCTGTTACCCACTAGGCCCTAAAGGACAATTTGCTGGATTAAATATAGAGACTTAAGCCTAATGCTGCTTAATCTTCCTATCCTTATTTTTTACCATTTTGCCTTTTGATATAATAATCTAAACTGATTATTTTTTGTTTATGTTAGATTATTCAAGAGCAAAATTTTCATGCTACTGTTGCTATTTTGTCAAACTTTAGGCAAAAAGATAGAAATCTAAAGCAATAGAAATTTTTATATAAATATAATGAGTTGTTTTCCTCTAACTAGAAATTACTTTTGAATAAAATCAAATAAAAAATATGCATTTACACACACACATGCACACACACACACACACACACACACATACAGAATTTCTAAAATTGAATTCACATTTTATAATGTGTTTTGAATACTTGTTATAACACATGGTATAAATATAAAACAAACAATACTTTTACATCTAATATTTATTGTAAAATCACTCTTGATTATAAAGTTAAATTTAATAAAATTAACACAGGAGTAACTAATTTTTTAAAGAGTGATATATTCTAGAACATAAAAATATCTTCATTGATTGTTAATACTGTCCATGTACATATACTTTGGTGGTTAATATTTTTTGATTTCATTTACTTTTTCATAATTCTAGTACCATGTTAATATAAATTCTATTATTTAGATGTAAGCCTGTTATAATCCATATCTAAGGCCAATATTCCCCTGCAAAAGAAAAGCCATGACAAGATTAATGAGGAGTCATACGTTTTTGAAACAGCCTGTATTTTGAGATATTTAAAAATAAAACCTTTGTCAAATGGAATGTAATTAGTGTGCTGCAGCTAATGTATGGAAAAAATATCTTGGAAAGAAGACCAAGGTTTCAATTGTCTTCATTTAGAAATGTTTTTATTTTAGAACATATTAAGTAATTTTACATTGCTTATATATAGAAAAATTATCTTGGCAAGGAGAAGACCGAGTCTTGAGCTGTCTTCATTTAGAAAGTTTTATTTTGGAGTAGCTTAAGTAATTTTGCATTATGATGAAAATAAGCTTTCCCAGTCATCCTTTATGCAAAGCTCAAAGATTGGAGACATTTTATCAAACTAATCCAGTAATGAAGTTAAACTTTTATTTCTTTCTATAAGATAACAAAAATATTTTTGTTCAGTTTTTCAATTGCTCATTTATAAGAAAAGACAATGTAAAATATAGAATTTTGAAATATTCAATTTCAAATTTTTCTATATAAATCATATATTTGTTAGTGGAATTTATTGTGATGGTAAAATCTATGAATTTAAGGTTTTTGTGCAGCTTTTAACACAGATTTCACATCATTAATTAAGCATATATTTATAAACTTTTAATGTATATGTTAATCATAAAATTTAATATTTCTTTCCAAATGATATAATGACTGGCTACTCATTTCCAAACATATCCATCCACTAGGGTGGTTAGCCAATCCCTGTTTCAGATGCCTGATCAGGCAGATTTGTGTATGTTCAAAATCTACCACCTCTGGTTTATACTGCAACTATGTTGAGCAAACCTTAGTTACAGTTTCTTCGAGAGAGTATATAATCTGTTTTGATCAACAATTTGAACAAGGCCAGTACACTCAAGCCCTCAGTCACAATAACTGGTGATTTTGTGCTAACACAACCATCAACGGCTTCCAAACAGTTCTGTCTACCTAATTTCACTCACAAGGGTTGGGTCAACTCTAAATCGGATGTTTTGAATAGAGGGATGTTTAACTATTTGTTAGTGTAGTTATTTTATATCCACACAGAGTACCATGCTTTTGTTGACATATGCTAGACAAAGCAAATGTAGTAAATATCTTGTGGGTGTCTCACCCTGGTTTAATGGTTAGCAAGCAAAGCATACTTCCTGTAATAGGTTTGATATTTACTGGGAACACAATACATGTAGCATTATGCTTGATTAAACTCAGGTTATTAAATTTAAATAAAAGAAAAAACTTGAATTTAATTTTTTATTATACCTCCATAGTCTGGCTGACTGTGAAGGTGTCACAAACATCTTGGCAACTAGCTTCTTCCTTTTCTCTTTCTGATCAAAGACTACCTTGGGAAATAGTCCCATTGCTGTCCATTCTGGGGTATTGTCCTCCCATCTACTTGCTTCTCTTTTATTCTTGTACAATGCCTTACAAGATTATATTGGTGTGTCTACATCATAAGACATGCTTTGAACCTAACCATAACTTAACTGACAAGGTAAGTTTTTCTTTATCAGCTTTTCTGATTCATGATAAATTGTATAAAACATAAAATTTGTTTTGATGTCTTCTAAAAATAATAGACCAGCTTGATGATTGATTTGCATAACTGAAAACTTCCATGTCATTATTTTTAATAAATGT